GTAATCCATACTGCAGACTGTATTCTTCAATCTTCATCAGTAAGTGCCTCAAGTCATCTTCACTTTCAGCAAGCAAAGTTGTGTCATCAGCATATTGCAGATTGATGCCACATTCTTCATATAGTCCACCTTCTCGGATTATTTGCTTGGCATACAGATTGAATAAGTATGAGGAAAGGATACAACCCTGACACATTCCCTTCTTGATTTTAAACCATGCAGTGTCCCTTGTTGTGTTCAAACAACAGCCTCCTGGTCAATGTGCTCCTCGTGAGCACAATGAAGTATTCTGGAATTCCCATTGTTCTCAATATCACACACTATTTGTTATGATCCACACAATCAAATGCTTTTGCATAGTCAATAAAACACAAGTAAACATCTTTCTTGTATTATTTCTTTGAGCCAAGATCCATCTGACATCAGCAATGATATCCCTCATTCCACATTCTCTTCTGAAACCAGCTTGCATTTCTGAAAGTTCTGTCAATTTACTGCTGCAACCATTTTTGAATTATCTTCAGTAAGATTTTACTTGCATGTGATATTAATGATATTGTTCTATAATTTCCACATTCTGTGGGATCACCTTTCTTTGGAATGGGTACAAATATGGATCTCTTGCAGTCAGTTGGCCAGGTAGCTGTCTTCCAAATCTCTTGGCATAACCAAGTGATTGCCTCCAGTGGGACATCCGTTTGTTGAAACATGTCAATGGGTATTCCGTCAAGTCTTGGAGCCTTGTTCTTTGCCAGTTCTTTCAGTGCTGCTTTGATTTCTTCCTTTAATACCATTGGTTCTTGAACATATGCCACCTCTTGAAATGAATGAATTATGACCAGTTATTTTTGGTACAGTGACTCTGTGTATTCCTTCCATCTTCTTTTGATGCTTCCTTCATTGTTCAATATTTTGCCCATAGAATTTTTCAATATTGCAACTCGAGGCTTAAATTTTTCCCTCAGTTCTTGCATCTTGAAAAATGCCAAGCGTGTTCTTTCCTTTTGGTTTGCTAATTCCCGGTGTTTGTGCATTTCATTATAGTGATTGGCTTTGTCTGCTCTAGTTGCTCTTTGAAATCTTCTGTTCAGCTCTTTTATATTGTCATTTCTTCCATTTGCTTTAGCTGCTCTTCACTCAAGGGCAAGTTTCAGATTCTCTTCTGACATCCATTTTGGTCTTTTCTTCCTTTCTTGTAGTTTTAATGACCCCTGGCTTTATTCAGGGATGATGTTCTTGATGTCATCCCACAATTTCTCTGGTTTTTAGTCATTGTTGTTCACAGCATCACAGTTACTCTTTAGATGGTCTCTAAGTTCAGGAGGGATATAACCAAGGTCCTATTTTGGCTCTCATGGACGTCTTTTAATTGTCTTCAGCTTCTACTTGAAGTTGCATATGAGCAGTTGATGGTCTGTTCCACAATCAGCTACTGGCTTTGTTGTGGCTGAAGATATTAAGCTTCTCCATTGTCTCTTGCCACAGATGTAGTCAATCCGATTCCTGTGTACTTCATCTGGTGAAGTCTATGTGTATAGCCAAAGTCTGTGTTGTTGAAAAAAGGTATTTGCAATGAATAAGTTGTTGGTCTTGCAAAACTCTATCATTCAATCTCTAGTGTCATTTCTATCACCATGGCCATATTTTCCAACTACCAATGATTCTTCTTTGCTTCCAACTTTTGCATTCCAATCACCAGTGATAAGCAACACATCTTGATTGCATGTTTCATCGATTTCAGACTGCAGAAGTTAGTAGAAATCTTCAATTTCCTCATCTTTGGCTTTGCTGGTTGGTGTGTAAATTTGAATAATACTAGTATTAACTGGTCTTCCTTGTAAGTATATGGATATTATCTTATCACTAACAGCATTCTTCTTCAGGTTAGATCTTAATACAATCTTTGTGACACTGAATGCCACTCCATTTCTCTTCAATTTGTCATTCCTGGCACAGTAGATCATATATTTGTTTGACTCAAAATGGCCCAGTCCAGTCCATTTAATGCCTAGGAGCTCTGGTAGCATAGTGCCTAAGACACTTGACTTCTAACCAGAAGGCTGGTGGTTCAAACCCACCAGCCACTCCTCGGAAGGA